CCTAGGATCGATTGGCAGATCCCTAGGGTTGAGCTTCTTGATTGTAAAGGGGAATATCAGCCATGTATACTGGCTGATGAGTACAGACCGGTGTGGATGCTGCTCCTTGTCCCCCACCGATTCAGCAGGTTTTGGACCGGTACCCAAGCCTGATGTAGGAGCCGACTGGACTTGTCCATAGGCAGACCCAGCACAGGATTGAGCTCCTGCCAGATTCGGTCCCTTCCAAGGGCCGTATCTACAGGATGTCACCTGCTGAACTCGATGAGCTCACGAAACAGCTCGATACCCTGACCAGCAAGGGCTGGATCAGACCGAGCACTTCTGAATTTGGGGTTCCAGTTCTCTTTGTTCCAAAGGGAAATGGAGAGTTCAGAATGCGTAGACTATCAGGGTCTCAACAAAAGCACTAGGAAGTCGACAGAGCCCCTTCCTAGGATTGATGATCTGTTGGACATGGTGCAGGGTTGCACGATTTTCAGCAAGATCGATCTCAAATCTGGCTACCACCAGATTGAGATGGCTGAAGGCGATATTCACAAGACTGCCTTCAAGACCAGATACGATACCTATGAGTACCTGGTCATGCCTTTCGGTCTTTGTAATGCCCCTGGCACATTCCAGACAGAGATGCATCGGATACTCAGGCCTTACCTGGACAGATTTGTAGTTGTATACCTGAACAATATTTTGGTATTCAGTCGATCTGTCGAGGAGCATGCGTAGCATCTAGCTCAGGTTCTCCAGGCACTACATGAGGCCCAATATAAAATCAACAAGGAAAAGTCCTCCTTTGGAGTGACTTCTGTGGCTTATCTGGGACATGTAATCTCTGGGGAAGGTCTGACTCCTGAAGCAACTAAAGTTGCTGCAATTCAGGACTGGCCACAACCTACCACAGTGCGTGTTGTCCAGTCATTCTTGGGTCTGGCCTCATACAACAGAAAGTTTGTCAAGAACTTTTCTGCTATTGCTGCACCCCTGACTGACCTTACAAAGAAGGACACCCCTTTCTTTGGACATCAAACTGTCAGCAGGCTTTTACACGCCTCAAGGAGGCCTTGATGCGTGCACCTGTTATGAAGTTACCTGACCCTACCTTGCCCTTTCTACTAACTACTAATGCTAGCCAATATGGGGTTGAGGCGGTACTTCAGCAGGACAGTGGGAATGATCTGCAGCCAGTTGAGTACATGAGTAAGAAGATCAATGTCAAGAAGCATGATTCTACATACGAGAAAGAGCCATATGCTAGTGTCAGCGCTCAAGCATTGGAAACATTTCCGCATGGGCAGACACTTCAAAATCTATTCAGATCATTCCACCTTGCAGTGGATGAAGACCTAAGGGGAACTGAATGACAAGCTTGCTCGCTATATCCAGTTCATTGATCTCTTTGACTTTGAACTGAAACACAAGAAGGGCTGCTACGATCGCGTAGCAGACACCCTTTCCCGTAGGCCTGACACTCTCTATCTGACCTCCGCTACTCACACCTTTGGGGAGAGCATCCGTCAAACCATTGCCCAGTTATTGCCACAGGACCCGATTTTCGGCCCTATTGTTAGGAATCTGCAAACTGATCCTGCATCTGAACCAGGATACACTCTGGTTTCAGATCTACTGTATACCTGCAGTAGAGGAGAGGAGCGTTTGTGCATCCCTCAAGACCGCCGACTGAGAACACTCATGATGTCTGAGTGTCATGATGCTCGCGGCCACTTTGGGGCCCTAAAATCGTTAGCAGCCCTGGCGCAGCGGTTCTTCTGGCCGGAGATGAGGAGTGACCTGCTGCACTATGTTGAGACCTGTGAGCTGTGCCAAAGGAACAAGGTCGTTCGTCGACCTCCCCTTGGCCTACTGCAACCACTCCCCATTCCTGATGCACCTGCACAGTCAGTGTCTATTGATTTCACCGATCTAGGGAGGACTACTCCTCGCGGTATGCGTCGGGTAATGGTATGTGTGGACCGGTTCTCTAAACATGCAGAGTTCATCCCGTTGCCAGAGGAAGTCAGAGTCCCGGCCGTACAGGCGGCCTTTGCTGACAGGTGGGTCACACACCATGGGCCACCCACCGCTATTGTCAGTGATAGAGATCCGCGTTTCTGAAGCAATGAGTGTCAGTCCTATTGTAAGGACTACCTTCATTCTAGACTGGACATGACATCTGGTCGTCATCCTGAAGCCAATGGGAAGGCTGAAGTGATGAACCAGATCCTCTTCCAGTTGCTGCGTCCTGTGATCAGCCCTGATCAGCAAGATTGGGATCTCCATCTAGGACAGGCACAGCTAGTGTACAATACGTCGGTACACTCTTCCACAGGGTTCACCCCCTATCGGTTGCACAGGGGTCATGAACCACGGCAACCTCTTGATGATATCATCGACAAGGCTACCCCCAGACTAACGCCTGGGACTGCAGCATTCACCAGACAGTACGGGAGGGATATCGAACTAACCTGTTTAAAGCCCCAAAGGCTATGATTCAGCAGGCTAACAAACATCGTTGCCCATCCCCCATTCGCACTGGTGACTGGGCCTGGGTTCTCAGTTCTGAGTTATCTCGGGAGGAGGACATTTCGCCCAAGCTGTTGCCGCGTTACATGGGTCCATGGCAGGTTTTAGATACAGTGCAAGCTGATCCTTTGGGACCATCCTATACAGTGGATGTCCCCCTGCATCTACAAACCTACCCTGTCTTCCATGCATCTAAGTTGTTACCATTTACCCTAGCTGATGCATTTCCAGACAGGCCTTCTTAGTTCGGTCCCCCTATCCCTGGGAAGGGATATGAGGTAGAATCGATTGAGGATGAGAGTGGGACAGGCCCGAACAAGGAAAACCTTGTGAACTTTTCTTACCAGCCACACCCTGAGGACTGCTGGTTTACTTGCAAGGAACTTCTGAAAACAGCAAAGTCCGTCGTCCTTAAATACGAGGCTGCGCAGAAGGGGGAACCCCTTCGACGCTCTGCACGCCTACGCCCCTAGCTCGGAGGTCCTCGCTCCGGGGGAGGGTAGGTCTGCAATGACTTGTTGGTTCCAGGTTGCCTGTACCCTCTCTCTGACGAGGCTGTACCATAGGTAGGGACATATTCGTAATTTTGTTTGGCTGAGGGCTAACCGAGAGACCTACCTGTAAGGAAAATTCGTGAAGGACATATCTGTAAATATGGGAAAATATAGGTCCAGTACTAACTCAAATTTCCTACAGCGACCGTAACTGCAAATAGCAGACCCGGGCTACCCCTAGGACAGACAGGCCTTAAGGGCCTATGCTGATAGACGGTCCTATAGCCTATAGCCGAGTAGGGAGAGGCCCAAGGGGCCGAAACAAAAACGGTACCAGTCGGTCAGTCAGTCCGGTCTAGGTCGAGTCTAGGCCAGGGTAGAGTATAGATACGTTGAGAGCATCAGTCCAGCGCTTTTGGCAATTGACACTTCGTAGTGGGAGTTGTTGTGCACGCAACATCAGGTCGTGGTGACTGATTCATGCGTGGGAGGCAGCAGACATAGCCAGACCTTCAGAGCACTGACTAGACTGGAGTCAACGCTGCATGCTCTGACTCTCTGGGAGTCAAAGCAATCTGGGCTATTGGAGGTCTGATGGTTGGAGCACATGGTGCACTGCTGACCCTCGTCAGGAGTAGGGTCCAAGTGTCGATGTAGCCATAGCTGCATCTTCTCAGAGATTATCATCGTCTGGACTTCATCTTCATCAGAGACTGTTGGCGTTGGGCTTCTTCTTCATCATCTGAGTGGCGATTGGCTCTGGGAGCCTCTTTCATACTGGTGCAGGCCACTGAGTTGGATGTCAGGGTGGCGCTGGGTGTTACCTAGGGTTCTGGTGCTATTTTTAGTTGTTCAGAGTGTGTGAGGTTGAGGCGCTACCCTTCTGAGGGTAGCGCAACAGGGTTCTGAGGTTATTCAGTTGAACGATGCTCTGAGTTTAATAAACAATTTCAATACTGTGTCTGAGTTGTCATCTCTTCAATGATTTCTAGCTGTGATCTCTCGGTTGCCTTCTATAAATGAGTGGTGGGATTTCTGTGGAGAGAATCCATTGTGTTGTGTACTGTCACTGTGCCCTTCTGAGTCTTCCGCTGCGTTTCTTCTGTTGGGCGGTGTGACACTCCACTACCTCTCCCCTTCCTTCTGTGCATGTATGGGCGTGTACAGGAGTTCCTGTGCGTGAGCGTTGGCAAAATTTCAACGGACAATCATGTTCATAACACAGGAGGAGGAAGAAGATCAGGACTAGGATGGAGGAGTGCCAGAGGTACTTACCTGGCTATGGTAGATACCTTCTCCATCACCTTGGTGGGCGCTGCATCTGGAAGGCCCCCGTTGGGGTAGAGCTGCACCAATAAACTTCAAGGCAGAGTGAGGCGTGGCTGCCTGAGCTATAGCAGCCATAGTTGCTTTGTGTTGTCCTTTGCACAACAAGGCGGCGCCCTGGTAGTCCGCCATAGCCTCGGTCGTGAGGAAAGGAGGAAGAAGGGTGGCCATGGCTATGGTGGACCTCATGTGATGCCTGCAGTAGAAGAGGGATTCAGACATTGATTCTGGTTCAGCCATTCAACATTATTATTATTATTTCTTGTTTGAATAAGAGAATAGGAGATAAGGAGGAGAGTGGTTGGCGAAGAAAAAGAGCATTGTCATTGGTCTATGATGTTGTACATCATCTTCTTCTTCTTCTCTCCTTCTCTCTCCTCTCAAGTTCATTCATTTCGTTTTGTAATTGGACGGCATTGTACTTTCTGATGAATGTGTACTTTGAAATTGGCAAGGGTCATAATACTTGCCATGTTTTCTGTTTGGTCCATGTAAGCCAATACTGGTCCTTTGAACAACTATTTGGGCCAGGGAATCTGAGTGAAGGCCACTGTTGGGCAAAATTTTGTTCTACTGTTTTTTTGGAAGGGTTGGACATCGGCCCACTGCTTTTGACTGGTTTTACTTGTGATACTTCTTTTCTGTTGTGGATTTGGGCAGGTGCGAACCTTAGAAGACGTCAAAGCTGTCTGTTCCAGGTACTGAACTGGTGCTCGCCATCCCTTCTCCTCTCGAGTTATTTAAACTTATTTTACTTTTTCTTCAATTTGTCAAAACAAATCCTTATTGCTATGATTGGATAATGGTTTATTTTACTACAGGGAATTTCTTACCCTCATTTTACATTCCATCTACGGGCTGGGACCATATTTTATCTTAGCATTTTTCATAGTTATAGCCCTATGATCAACTTCACTCCAAATTGATGGAATCCTGAAACCATTTCTCCTCTCCATCTGGATGGAGTAAAACATCATGCTCCCAGTTGGATCTGCTTTTTCGTTCTTTATTTGCCATAATGCATCTAGAATATAACATTTTAAAGTTCAAGTTTGTCTTTCATGAGAATATAAACTTCTTGGAGACCTTTGCTATGTGTATGAAAATGCAAGATAAAATAAATGTGTGTGTCAAAACATGGAAAAAACAAGTCCTTTGTGGAATTGGATTTTTTCTACATTATCTTTGGACCAATGTGGATCAAGACATAAGGTCAAGACAAGTTGCAAAAATGCAATAAGCATATACGTGCAACCACTATCAACAATGATACAACCATGGCTGCAGATATCTAATAGAAAAGCATGCCAGTAACAAATTTCATTGACAATTATATGTCTTTGGATCAGTACCTCTGGCCTCAGCCCTCCTCCGTGCAAGCACGGACTCGAAGCTGCGACCTCGACCTCAAGAGCCAAGTATCGTAACCACTAAAACCAGGACACAGTGTTCAAAAGCGGAACCATACCGGTCGTGATATCCACCCCACCCTGCAAGGCTGTAGTGTCCACACTCAACGCACATCACACACAATACCACACTGACGTTGGCAATCACCGCACGCTTCGCTCCAAGTAGCACATGACCCCCATCGGTAGTATAGCCCGGTCGCTTATGCGGGACTTCAACTGACCGCCAGTTAACGAGAGTTTTCCAATGTCTTTGGATCAGTACCTCTGGGCCTCAGCCCTTCTCCATGCAAGCACGGACTCGAACTAGCGACCTTGGCCTGCAGGGGTCAATGAACTTTGCATGAAACTTGCACCAAGCTTTCCACAATTTTCACCTCCGCCTGCATTGCCAAGCGTGCCCTTCGACCCAAAATGAATAGGTCCATTAGAAGAGTTTTTAGCAAGTACCCAAAGTTCTTTCTAAGGCTTTTAAAACGATTTCCTTAAACCACTAGTACCTCCGAGCCTGTGTTTTGCCGACCCTGAATTTCACTGCGCTCCGAGTTTGCCGAGCCTCGGTACCACTCCGTTTTCTTTTTGGTACTCTAACGGAAAGAACAAAAAAAAAAAAAAAAGAAGGAGAAAAGTTGCGGCTGCAAACTCAAAAAAAAGAAAAAAAGAAAAAAATGAAACAAAGCTTTGGCCGTGATTGCAGTTGTATACATTCGTGGAAGTGGTAGTGTGAGTGTGCCCTCAGTGAGGGCGTCTCAGCCCCGTGGCCAGGTTGTCAGATTCGAAAAAGAAAATAGAAGGGGAAAAAAGCGGGCACACAGATCCGACTGTGAAAATGGCTGGATACATTCCCCTTAGTACCAGTGTGATGAGTGTTACAATCCTTTGACAAAACACAGCTTGAGCAAATCACGGACGGGTTGACTTATAAGAAACACACGAGCAAGAAAAAAAAGAAAACAGTAACCTCTAGAATGTGACCGCCTTACCGGTGAGGTGCATTCTGTGGAGGAAGACTCTAAGCACGACCTCCAA